AACAAATATAGTGTTTTCGTTCCAGGAACTATTTGCGCTCGTGTAGGGATACTATTTAGCATCCTCTGACATTTCGCTCAACATAATTTATTTGTATTTTTGCCAAAACTGCGTCCGACGGGGTAATTCAAAATAGTCATCTTCAGAGCACATTTCTGACTCAATGAGAACGTGATGTTTGCATACTGCAAGTACTGAAGTATGCTCACAGTAGGTGTATATAGGCTTTTTGTTGCGAGGTTTATCCACTTTAATAGCATGTCTGCAATTAAGCCACGATGCCTCAATCTGTTTTGAGACGGTGGAAAAGTGGGCACGTTACTATGGCGACGTTTATGGGCTGCTACTACGTACAGGTGTAGCATGTGTGGTAATTGGTTGTCACGATGCTGCTGCTGCTGCTGCTGCAGGTGTGATGATGTCGCTAGAGGATTTGAACAACCAGCCGAGACGCGAACATCAGGGGAACTACAGTCAGCGAGAACACAGCCAGTATGTCGAGGATCTGAAATTCAACGCTGCCATCAGAGAGGTGTTCCTGAACAGGTATGCTGTTACTCGTGTGACCTTCCTGCAGTCGGAGGAAGCCACGTTCGCAACGAATGTACTCCTTATCAAGATAGGATTCGATAGATATACGTCAGAACAGAAGCAGTTAATGTAAGCTGGAAAGCTTCCCGCACATTGCCACGGTAATTAGATTTGAATGTTTCGAATTGATAATTTTGATATTTTTGTGGTGAACAGAAGGCAGTGGCAGTGGTGCTGATTCGTATCGGGGAATCTCTGTCGCAGCATTTGTCATGCGTACACCGCGATGTAGCGTTAGTGTTGAACGTCACTGCTCTAGCTGCATGTAGTGTGTGTATCGTATTAACCTGCCGTAGCCTATGGCAGTACAGCAGAGCAGCAGACCACAGATGAGCACTGTCGCTATGCGGCACTTACCTGTATTTACCTGTATTTACCTGTCTTCATCTTTCTCCTACTACAGGTTCACGCACATGTTTAGTCAATACGAGTCGTTTGTGATACAGCCGGTCGGGGACATGGAGATGTGGCTGTCCAACAGGGAGAGCATGCAGAACTTTGACAAGTCTGCCTATCTCAGGTGAGTAGGCACTAGCTTAGGTAGTGTTCCCAGTTGGAAGAGTGAGACAAGTCACAAAAGTAAGAGTAAGGGTAAGAGTAAGAGTAAGAATAAGAGTAAGTAAGGGTAGGTAAGGGTAAGAGTAAGAGTAAAAATAAGGGTAAGAGGAAGAGTAAGTAAGGCAGGTGGTAAGAGGTAGGAAAGCCACGACCTCCCATAATCCAGAATTCTCCATGATTCTGAATGAGTGATCCTAAGAATGCGACATTTGAAAATTGCGACCGCATTTCTAGATAACTTTTTCTGTTGTGGCAAAATCCGGATTGTGAACTCTGTAACAAAACGTATATAAAAACGCAAATAAACGTAATAAAATGTAACTAAAATCGAACAGAACCCTAACCCTAAGACTAACCCTGCTCCTAACTTAACTGCTGTTACGGGACATACATTTCAGGGTCAAAACTAACTGAATGTCTGTTATGGCTTGTTGGGGACTTAATGGCATTTTGCAATCGCACCAGAATTGTTGAAGCTCTTTCCACCTATTTCAGTGCCTCTCACTGTGAGTCAGGTTGTCATCTGAGCAGATAAGACATGGTTAGAACAATAATTACCCCCTCCATTATTTCCATTATTACCATTATTACCATTATTACCCTTCTCGTTCCTGAAGAGCTGTACAGCTCGTAGATACTGGCATTTATCACCTCTTTAATCGAACGTTCGATGAGTGTGCGCGCATGAAAAAACACTTATTGCCGCGATAAAACTCAAAAGTGTATTCTACGGAGATTAAACTACGGAGATGACGTGCACGGTTAGTCGTCACAGCGATGAATTTATACGATGATTAAAACAGGTCAGAGTAACGGAGGCGTCTGCTGTACATGCTGCGAGTCAGCTAGCGTTCTCTTGTTCCAGCATGGCGCACGTGAGCTAACATCTTTTGTTTTGCGAACATTGACGTTGCCCATGAACGTTCTCGTGTATTTTTCTGCGACTGCCACTCCTCACGTCCTCTGCTCACGCACAGCGTTTCTGCGACTGCTCTCTTTTTTCGGCGTCGAGGCGTGCACGAAGGGACGTTCTCGTGTTTTTTTTTTCACGACTGCCACGCCTCTCATCCTCTGCTCACGTGACGCGTTTTTGCGATTGCTCTCTCGTTACGGCGCGCACGAACGAACGCTCTCTTGTTTTTCAGCGACCAGCCGGAGACGTACCTGCCGTTTCTCGCGCCGTTCATCGAGACGCAGATGTTCGCAACGCTCATCGACAACAAGATCGTGTCTCAGTGGGAGGACGTAGACCCGTTCCTCAAGGTAGTATGCCGCGGTGCCTAGCTGCCTGCTGGTCAGAGTAGCCGGACGACGGCCCGCGACAATGAAAACATTAAATAAAATAAAAATAATTAAAAAATTTTTAATTTAATTTTATCGTAACCACACATTCGCACTGAATAGCACAGCACGTACCCCGTGTACAGTGTGGTACAAACCCACGACCGGTCTCACCCCACTGTCATAAAATGCTGATTGATCGAATTATTGGTTACTTCGTCCGCAGATATTTGACCGCCGAGTGAAAAACCTGAAGGCTCGATACGGAGAGATGAGGACGCCCATATATGATCGCTGTGAGACGGTGCACGAAGCAGGTAGGCGGGCGTGTTAGCTGTGTGGCAGGGTCAGTACAGAGAGATAAGCAGGTAGGCGGGCGTGTTAGCTGTGTGGCAGGGTCAGTACAGAGAGATAAGCTGAGGCGCGTAAGAGCGCGGGCCCGGGATAGGCGACATGTCAGCGGCAACCATCGCTCACACCAACTGGAAGTTTGTCGAGACATTACTCAAGGAGGTGAAGAGCAAGGTAGGACCATCCTTCAAATTCGCTGAGCAACGTTCTAATTCATGGAGCGATGAAGGAATGGGGAGAAATGTGCAAAGGAAGGAAAGGCGACACTGGTCGGTCAGGATGAGATCAAATTTCATAACCTTCTAAATGGCTGGTCATTGAAACGTAATTCATAAACGTGCACAAAACGAGTACTTTATAGGTTTTTGCTTGGCTCACCCATGAGAATTTCTGTAATGTGAGTTTAACACAATAAAACATCGTCAGCACAATACTATTACAGTCCTTGCCTCTCACCTCTCTCCTCTCTTCTCTCTCACCTCTCCTCTCTCATCACCTCTCCTCTCTCTCATCGCAGACCAAGCGCATGTTGGTGGAGAAGCTCGGACAGGAGGCTGTCGAGCTGGGTCACGGCGAGGTCACGATCACGGCCGGCGTCGAGGAGAACACGCTCATCGCGAGTCTGTGCGACCTGCTGGAGCGCATCTGGGGTCACGGCCTGCAGACGAGAAGGTGAGCGCGGGGAGGCGGGGGCGGGGGCGAGGGTCCACTGT